AGCCCTCTGTGCCTGGGGTGTTTTCTGATGGCTCCCACAGTTACTATCCAATATCAGACAAATACCACATTCTTTTTCTTACTGAAAATATTTTTCCCATTACTTTGTAGCGTGTGGAGTTCCGGTTTCAATCCGCATCATCAAACATTTCTATCTTCTGTCAAAGGGGTTATCTCATCTAGAATTCTTCCTTCAATATTCCTTTCTCTCCTCAGAATGAAAAGGAAGAGGAGAAAAGAAGAAGGGAGGATGCGGGAAAGGGGGGATGGTTTTACAGGATTTTCTGTAGACCATTTTCCAGCTGAGGGAACTCGGGTACAGAGAGGTTCAGCAATGTGGCCAAGATCATACAGCTAGTTGGGTTAGATCCTTTAGGTTCTCCCATAACCTCTGACCATGACTGTGTCTTGGAAGTCATTATATCTATCTATCTATCTATCTATCTATCTATCTATCTATCTATATATATATATATATATATATATCTCCCTACTATGCAAATAGACTAAATGGTGGAACAACCGAACAACTGGTCACTATGACATGCGCCGACTACCAGGGGGCGCACGTGGAACATGGCGGGTGTCAGCCGCGGCGGGATGTCGGAGCAGGTGAGCGGGGGCGCCAGACCAAGGCGGGGTGCCAGTCGCTGTCATCGGGGCAAGCCTCTGGTGGTTACTGAAAATTCTTTGCTCCCACTCACCGCGGTCCTGCCAGGCACTTGCACCTGCTGCCAGCGTCGGCCCCGCTCACACCCATTGCCAGCGCCCAGCGCCGGCCCCGAATGCTCAGCGCCATCAGCAGGTGCGAGCAGTGGATGCAGGCCCAGGTCGCCCCTGAGGGCTTCTCCACCTCCCCTGCTCCTGAGGGGCAAAAGGGGCCCGGCGCCGTCAGCGCGTGGGAGCGGCAGTGGCAGAAGCAGGGCTGGCCAGCAGAAAAGGGACCGGGGCCGAGACAGGAGGGGCCGGGCAGGAGCGCAGAGGATGGGCCAAGACCCACCCCTGTGCCCACCGCAGCCCCGCAGCCCACAGTTCCTTTCAAGCTGCATGAATTCATGCACTGGGCCCCTAGTTGTTTCATAAAAGTCCATAGATAAGTCTCTCTTCTCCACTAAACTATAAGTACCTTAAAGGTGAGAACTTTATCTTAATTATCACTTATCCTGGTTTTCACTCAGTACTTGATGATTAGATAGATGTTGGTTGGTTGGATGGATGGATGAATGGATGGCCAAAAAAATGAATACAAAACCAATGAGAGAAGTCGGCTGAAGTCTGTAAGGGCAGAAGTATTTTTCATTGAAGGTTACACCTTGGGTTCACATGGGCTCCATTTAAGAGATCCCTGGAATTTCATTCTTTTAAAAGACACTTGTGAATCTTGCCATAAAACAAACAGCTCTAACATTTTTTCAAGCAAATTAAAATGGTAATTCTTAGATAAGAGCATAAACATTTTTGGTTTTTTGCAGTTCAGGAAGAGAGGTATATTTTGCTCCAAACGAACTCAAGAAGTTAAAATTTAATTTGTTTGCTAAGGAAGATTTGCCAAAACGAATTACCTCTTAATGGAAACAAGCTACTAGGGCACTGTTCTCTCCTCGAGCAACGGTTCGGTGCAACCTACTGTAAAATTAAGCAGAGAGAAAAGGGCAGCGCTCAGGGGAGTTTAACACATTCCTTCTCACAGTAAAATTGGACCAATGTGGTAAGCAATTTACCTTTCTGCTATAAACCCAATAAAAGCTAGAGTCACCAGGGCCATAGTGTTTTTTAAGAAAATCCCTGTCAGGTACAATGCAGATTTGATCATCCTCTTGTTCCTTATTTAAGGGGGGCAGTAAATTCTCATTTGTACTATGACTACGCTTTTGAAGACTTCTTTATCCACTAAGAATCCTATAAGAATAAACCCGATAAGGTAATAAATGCTTCACTTGACAGTAGGATGGTTTAATGTTCCAACAGTTATTACTTGGCACTCTGAACTCTTAATGCTAAATTAAGATGAAAATCCTTCAAAGAACACAATGCTGAAGAATCCAATAAATGAGTTACATTTATAACAAAAGGTTCGTGGTTACTTTTATAGTACTAGAAATCGATTTGCCCATAACAATAAAGGAATTCCACTCTTAATATACACTTACAATCAAGCATTTTGCCTAAAACCCCTGCCCCTAAGTCACTGGGGGAAATGTCATAGGATACCATTGTACACACTTTCCAAAATTTGGGTGGGTGATACTCTTTTCAAGGTTAGGCCTAACTTTGGGTTAAAATAAACAATTAAACATAGAACATTCATAAAAATTGACCACAAATAATAATAAAAATTAGAAACATAACAAAAATATGATCTGATCACAATGCAATAAAAACTACAAATTAAAAAGCAAGGGACCATTTCCATCTATCAGAATGGCAATGATGGACACTAGAGACACTAATCTAATAAAGGTTGGGCACCAACAGGCACTTCCCTACACGGCTGGTGGGGAGAACTAACCTCCTAGACTGAGGCAATTCATCACCTTTCAAAATTACAGAAGCTCGGACTAGCGGTTCCCAAACTTGCTTTCATATTGCATCACCTGGGGAACTTCAACATACCGGGTGCCTGTGTCCAGCCCTAGAGGTTGGATTTAATTGGCCTGGGCTGGGCCCTGAGTCTTACACTTTTCAGAAGATCCCCAGAAGATAACGAATGTGCAGACAAGTCTGGGGATTGTGGGCTTATCCACCCGTTGTTGAAGCAAATCCAGTTCTCATTATTCACTCATTATGCATGTTCACACGTGGTGAATGACCTATGGCATCACTCACAGCTTTGTTTTGTAATACCAAAAGATGAGGAACGCATAAATGGAACACAAAGGAGGCTCGCTAAATAAGTGCTGGATATTCATAAAGTGCAGTACTATGTATCTCTTAGAAAGAGGTGCAGAAGTGTGTGAATTACATCTCACTAAAGCCGTTACGTATGTCTGAAGAGGTGCAGATGGTGTAGGCAGCATGCTCATGCCTACGGGAGAATTAACACACATAGTGGTAAGAGTGGCCACCTCGGGGTGAAAGTTTGCTTTTCTCTGCATACCCTTTCAAATACTGACATTTGTACTGTGTTATGTATTAACTCTTTAAAAATGTATTTTAAAAATTAACATGACATCGAAAATCAACCAGGTCATATCACTATCCAGCCAAACGGAATTTATAAGCCAGATCCCAAGGGGCAGGAGGGAATATTTTGGGATGACAGAAATACTCATCTCTAGAGTGGTGGCGGCTGCACCGTATGTGGCTGTAGAAACACAGACCTGTATTCCTAAAATGAGTGACTTTCACTCTGTGTAAACTAGACCTTGAAAACCTGACTTTAAAATAAACCACTTTTTTAAAGACAGCCGGACCTCTCGCACAATGCTGTGAGGACTATAAATAAACCAGTTTGGAAACTGCTCTGCTCTTGACCTCTGGAGCCGCACTCAAAACTGAGCCGGGACCACTCCCACATTAACAACCAGCGTCGGGAGAAAAGGCCCCGGGACAGAACGGGGAATCAGAAAGAGACCTGCCGCGGCGAAGGTGGCCTTCAGTGGAGGTCGGGGAGTAATTGATTTCAGTTAACAAAATTCTTCGGGTATCTTTGTACTCAAAATTTACCTTGCCCTTTCACACTGCTCCATGGAATTGTGTACTCTGGCTGTAATATTAATTGAACATTTTTCTCATTTAAAAAATTAATTGCCCAGGTGGAAATCTGTGTGCCACGCGGCACAGGGGTAATGAACAGGGTACTGTTGTGTGCTGCCCTTCAGAAATGAATGGGGCTGCTCACAGCAGAAGCAAATGGCCTGAGGGCTGCCTCCGCCCAGCACTGCAGACGGCCCCAGGGCCAGAGCACCTGGGAGCCCTGTGAGTCCGTTACACTGCGCCCCGTGCATTGGCACAGCCACGGGGAAGGCTATTTGGGTCAGACTTCCCCAGGGTGGATTCTCTCTACAAACAGCCTTTCTTGTGACAACAGTGATGGGGCGCACTGCTGTGCGGGACTCTCTATGGTAGCAGAGCAGACCAGGTGAAACCCAGCTGACTGGGACTGTGACCGAGGGCCTTAGCTGCTGAAGACCGACTGGCCACTCTGCCGGTCACCGCGCCTACAGGTGGCCTGAACCCAGCAGCCCTCCTGGGTCACCGACGCAACCACAGCTACTTTTCTTGCTTGAAAGCAAAGAGACCTCCCCTTCTCTTCTCCTCTGTGGACCGGGTGCCCCCTAACAAACTTCTCAGGAGCCTGAAAGCTGTTGCCATCACCCTAGAAACTAGTTCCAAAAGCGTGGCATCATTACACGCAGGGCCTTCCATAAAGGCAAAAGCTCCCCATTACTTACCACAAGCGTGTCAACTACATACAATGGTGGGAAGTAACAGTCTGCAAATACCGCAGCGAGGTAATAACCTGTTCAATGCAATATGAGGCAACCACTGACATTTTAAAGAGGACAGGTGCCAGTTTTTTCTCTTTAAAGAATTTATCATTTTGCCCTATCAGAAATGCCACAGGATGCCAACCCCAACAGGGAATAAAGAGATGACAAGACCCCAAACAGCCTAAGTGACAGACATGCGGGCACATCCCCAGTGGGGGTGTGCAGGAGGCAGCTGATCGATGTTTCTCTCTCATCGATGTTTCTAACTCTCTGTCCCTCTCCCTTCCTCTCTGTAAGAAATCAGTAAAATATATTTAAAAAAAAAAAAAAGGAATTTATCATTTTAAAGCATCAGAAATGCCACAGGATGCCAACCCCAACAGGGAATAAAGAGATGACAAGACCCCAAACAGCCTAAGTGACAGACATCACAAACCATAAAACATGAAAAATGACCACTCTGGCAACTCAAATGTTGGACTTGCAGAATCTCATCATCTTTAACATTTGCAGAACATGTAAGTGCATCTCGGAGATGCGAAGCGAGAGAAAGACCTGGGGCCTGTACCTGGTGAAGGCGGGGCTGTGCGCGGTCATCGCCACCAGCAGCTTCAGGGCATAGGCCGGGACCGGGCCAGGCTCCGTGAGGACGTGCTCGTACCTGGAATGACAGGTGATGGGAGAAGCGCTCAGTGATTTTCCTCCCTGAAACCCTCCTCTCCACGACAGAAACCAGAGGCTGCAAGGTGCACACACCTGACAAAGCACAGATGCTGAAACAAAGGTATGAGCTACAGGGTCTGCGCTGGCCAAGGGGACGATGACACTGCCCACCTCCCAGTGTTGTGGGAAGTTCAATGAGACAATCCACTTAGGGCCATTAGGATTGAGCTGTCCACAGAGCAGGAAACTTTAGCATTAGGGATCTGTGCCAGGGGTCCCCAGGGCGACCTGCACACTAGGAGATTTGCTATGGGACTCACAAGACGCCCATACGGTCAGATTCATGACGAAGATTTAGTGCATGAGCCCCCTTACCCAAGGCGGGTATGTTCCAAGACCCCCTGAGGAAGCCTGAAGCGGCAAACACTACTGAACCCTATATATACTATGGTTGTTTCCTATACATACGTATATACAGTCTATGGCTTCTCTCTGGCATATCTAAACTGCCAGCATCACTATTCACACTCTTGGGGCCATCATTAAGACAAGGGTGGCGTGAACATAGGCACCGCGATACAGCGACAGTCCATCTGCTAACCCAATGATCACTAAGTGACAGACAGACAGGTAGCGTGTAGAGAGTGGATGCGCACACTGGACAAAGGGAGATTCGCCCATGTTATTCGCTGGGCAGAGGCGGGTTCACATGCGGTGTCAACCTAGTTCAGCTGCCCCGTGTACAGCTCCATGCAGATGCTTAAGTGTTGGATGGACGGATGGAAGGACGGACGGACGGATGGATGGCCAGACAGACGGACAGATGAATGAACATACAGATGAACAAACTAACTAACCAATCAACTATGACTTAACTATCTGGAACCACCAACAACTAGAGGCAGCTAACTATCTCCAGAAAATCCAAAATGTATCTTTAAAAACCCATGACATGAAGCAGATGCTGCTCATGGGGAGAATGGGCCCCCAGTTTACTCACAGCCTGTTCACGCTCGTGTTGAAAACTGTTATATAACAAGCCTAGTTAAGCAGCCCCTAAGCCCACAGCCATCACAAAGGAGTAACGGGAGGAGAGGGACCGGTACAGAAAGGCAGCCTGAGAGTTACACCAGGACTGGAAAGCCCAGGAAAAACCCGAGGGCAAACCCGGACTCCAACCAGCAGACGGCATCGGGCGCAGAGGAAACCGCTGCCGGTACCTCCAGGGGCCCAGGGGCCCAGCACACACCACGATGTTCAAACTGGGCAGTGGGTCAAGAGAATGTTCAGCTGGGGAGGGCTCTGCTTAGGGGGGCGGGAAGGACCATGTTTTAGAAAGCCTTCTTATAAAGTATTTTTAAATTATGGCAATGAAAAGATATGCCCATGTAGGACCGATGAAAGACAAAACACCAGATCATTCATAACAAAGTCATAAACAAAATATTAAGAAACCAAAGGAGATCCGTGTGTTTAAATAAACAGCACAACCAAGCATGATTAATTTTAGAAATGAAAACAGTCAAATTTAGAAAAACAATACATTTTATCACATGAATAAAACAAAAATCAAAGAAACTTTTTTACAAGTGATAAAAATGCACTTGACACCTGAATTGAACTTTTTTAAAAAAAGGAACAACTCAGCATACTAGAGAGAAACCATTTCTCCTTTCTGGAATAGTCTTACAAAATACAAAGCCCTGCCTGGCCAGTGTGGCTCAGTGGTTGAGGCGTCAACCTATGAACCAGGAGGTAATGGTTTGATTCCCGGTCAGGGCACATGCCTGGGTTGCGGGGCTTGATCCCCAGTGTGGGGGTGTATAGAAGACAGCCGGCCAATGATTCTCTCTCATCACTGATGTTTCTATCTCTCTCTCCCCTCTCCCTTCCACTCTGAAATCAATAAAAGTATATTTTTTAAAAAAGTATATTTTTTAAAAAAGAAAACACACTGAGGAAACATTATTGACAGAAATACAAATATGTTGAGGTTGTGTGAGGTTACCTAACCTTGAAACAGGAGGAAAGAAGGAAGTCTGTACCAGCCTGTTCATGAGAATTTTTGCAAAGAATATTGCTATGATTTTCTCCCCTTGGAAAACGAGGGGTAAAATTCACATTTGTTCGGAATAGAAATATTGAGTATTTTGAATGTATTTTAATCAAAGAGAGGTTTGCGGCAAGAACTAGCCAAAACGATGCTGTGATTTATTAAGTTTGTCTTCCAGAGAAAGATAAAGCAGCTGAGCTGATAATAATTGGACCTCGCACTCTTCTGAATGCCACTGGGCAGGAAAAAAACAGACACAAAACAATGATAAGCCAGGGCTCCGAAAGGGCTTCGCAGGAGGGTGACCAGTGAGAAGCTGTCCACCTGACAGGCACTGGGGAGGAGGACTCCAAGGGCATGGGCCCGGCCAGAGTGAGATCACCGTCCACTTCGGAGCACACTGCCCAGACAGTGGCCCAGACCCCCCTCTTCCACCTTCAGGGTCCTCCCAAACCAGGGCCCTTGCTAGGTCCCAAACCGCTGGAACCCAGGCAGGACAAGCCCTGCACCCTAAATTCACATCTGCCCCGACGGAGAGGAAACTTTCGAAAATCACCTTCAGGGACCCAAGGAATGGACTGTTTCCTGTCTTGTCAAGTACCTGGAGCAACCAGCGCCCAGGTAGGTAGGCTGCAGAAAACTGACACCGGCTGTGTGGATAACTGAATTACTGAGAAGCTGTTCTGGGGATTTGGCCCCAGAATTGGCCACATGGAAAGAAGAGCCTATTTTGCTGGGTGGTGGGGGGCCCGGGAGTCGGGCAGAGGTACCATGTCGTAAGGATCCATTCTGTTGGGATCAAGCCACATACTCACATTTCACATCTCCATGGAGTGGACTCTGAGAATTTGGGGGGAAAGAGTGAGTCCAGGTTATCCAAGAAACTCTAGGAGAAATACAATAAGATTCTAAATAAAAAACTAAAGTACTTGGCAAAACCACGATAATTATTACCTGTGGGGAGAGATCAAGAATACGATATGAATGAAAAGGAAAGAAAGGTGGCAACACTGGACAAGAAAGTAATCTTAGAAAGGGAGTGGGAAAGAATGGTCAGGCCATATCTTATAAAAGTGCACTGGCAATAAGAAAAAAATCTAAGCAAAAAACTTGTAAATCTGTAAATATTTACAATGTGTAAATATTCACATATTCTTGGGTGAGAAGACCTCTATGACATCACAACAAATGAGAAGTGAATAAAAACAACAACATTTACTGCTTTTTCAGGGCAAGTTTTTAAATACTACATATTTCTCAATGACAAACCACCATAAAGAAATCAAAAGAGGGGAAAAATTTTTGCAGAATGTTGGTAAAATAAAGAGCTAATATTCTTAATATATAAAGAATTATTGCAAACCAATAAACATCCCTCCAGAAAAGAGGACAAAATCCAACTTAGAAGAGTATCAGTGGCCAAAAAGCATGGGGAGCGGAAATGATCAGCTCACTAACACCTGAAGGAATGAATGCGAGTCCAGCTGACAGGAAGAGTAACACGGGTCATCTCACAAAGGAACGCCGGTCGCGCAAGCTGGTCGTCATCGTTGAAAATAATTTGCCAAAACATATTCAAAAGCCCTTACCATGTACATAATTTTTAACACAGTGACTCTACCCCCGGACATTCAACAAAATGAGTAAGTCTGCACCCAAAGATGCAGTGCTGAAAATGGTCTTTGTAACCATTTCTTTAACAGTGAAACACTGGGAAAGCCTAGATGATCAGGAACTGGGAGTTTTTTAAATGATTTCCAGTGCATTTATAAATGTAGGAGTAAGTAGATTACAAGACAGTCAATAAAGTTGTGTTATATAAGCTCATATACTTAGATAATAGATCGATGATTGATAGATAGATAGATAGATAGATAGATAGATAGATAGATAGATATTCCCAGTATGATGTCTGGGAGTAGGCAGTTCTGAGAAACTTATAAGAAGCACTAAGTAAACCTCACTAGAGATGGAGAAAACGGGGAGCAGGCAGATGTTGACATGAAATGGTGGACTAGAAGCAAAACATTGAGTGTCTTGGATGGCTGGGTAAGTATGTTAATGTTACCTTCTTCTTTTGTTTGCTTGGGTATTTTTGTTTGTTTCTTTTAATCCTCATTTGAGGATATTTTTTCCATTGATTTTGAGAGAGAGTGGAAGGGAGAGGGAAAGACAGAGAGAAACACTGATGTAAGAGAAACATCGATTGGCTGCCTTCCACATGCCTGACCAGGGCCGGGAGCCTGCAACTGAGATACATGCCCTTGACCAGAATCAATCCCAGAACCCTTCAGTCTGCAGGCCAACGCTCTATCCACTGAGCCAAACTGACTTGGGCTGCTAAAGTCTTCTCCAAAATTTGAACTCCAAAATTTTATAAAATGAGAGTGGGTATAAATCAAGTTAGTAGTCAATATTTTGATACCTTTCCTATCTTGTGATATTTTGTAACCTGAGTTCTATACAACACTGCTGTCTTGCATGAATGCATAGATATTTAAGTATATCAGTAGTTAAATAGATACATAAGTGGATGGAGAAATAGACATGTGGGTAGAAAGATTGAGAGATAAGTAGATAGACAGATAGATAGATTTTTTTAAAGTGAAAAGATAGATAAGACTTCAAAGTATTAAATTTTATTTCAGACATAAGCCCTCATCTCTTCTGAACTCTTCAATAAACTCAACAGCAAATTTTCATTATAAAGGTATGAAAGGCTAAGAGAAACAACTTCAGAAAATCAACACTCAAGGTTTACAAATGTGGATAATTTGGAACTAGATAAGGATATCCTTTCACCCCCAATCAGAATAATTCTAGCATCCTAGTTCTTTGGATAATATTATGATGCTTCTTTCTGGTGCAAAAATATTTGACTTAAACTTTATATGCCAAAAAAAAAAAATTCCTAAGGAAAGGCTATAAATGAAATACTCCCAACT